TTGCTATCTCCCTGGTACATGTATATCACTCGACCCCTGCCCCCACTCTGTGCTATTCGAGGCGTAATTCGTCCATCCCCTGCACCTGAGTGATTGATTAGAGGCTAAAGTCTCATAGTAAGTCTCATGATTGTGCCTTTGCTACATAGACCACGTCTCTTGTAAAACCTACTGTCAGCCAACTAATTCCAATCGCCGCCTCGTCTATACTGTCTCTATCCCTAATACCAAGTCTATGACTTTCCATGTCCTAGTCGCTTGTGTGCCAACCTACAAATGTTGTGGTACTGCTGGCTTTGATTAGGTTCAATGTTGAACCACAACGTTTGTGGGTTGGCACACAATATGCATTTCTTATGCCTCAAAAGGAAAATTATTTTACTCATAAAGTGCTTCTTAAAAGATACAAGAACCCAGCCTAGAGCCCACCCAAGTGTAAAATTATTTTACGTTTATAATTTCTTCCGAAGCATTAACAATATGCCGAAATTAACGTAGACACTGACTACAACTTAACCTTATCCTGATGCCAAAGTAGAGAATAACGCGCTAATCTGCGCAGAAAGTCGACTACATTTCGATTGAGTTGATGAATACGATGATGAAAAGCAATGTCAGGTTCTCGGAGTTCGGTGCAGTGGCTCAATTCCTGAGAATAATTGAATGTTAAAGGCTCATCTTCATTCAATGAATGCACTGGTGGGCAGGGCTGGCAGGTACCTCTCATCCAACGAATGAAGTGGCGAGTGCTGACAAATTTGGAGAAAAAGAAGAAAGTGTAGGTATAATAGAGGCTCACAAATTAAGTACGTGTACAGCACTGAAATAGTTTATCTTCCAAGTTTTGTTAATCAAGTAAACAAAAATAACAAAACACATTTTAGAAGAGCCTTATTATTCAATTACTAGTCCTTCAAATTTCTCACAGCCAACTATTAAAAGCACATTCTTAATCGCGATATGCATGATTTCGAAATAAATTCTATACTGTTTAAAACATTAAAATAGCATAGGGTTCTTTCATTATCGTTTAAGCGAAAAAAATATGGGTTTCGGGCATAAAAGCGTCTGGGTTCAAAAATCGGGGCTGGCTGAGCACAGGGCAGAAACGGGACACGTGATTGAATAGTCTCATACTTCTCGCTTTGGTGATTATGGAATGTCTGTGACTAAACTTAAAATTAGAGAAGCCTTCGAAATAAACCGAATAGGAAATACATTGAATGTAAGGAATAATGGTAAGAAGATAAGTAAAACATAATTGTGCTTAATTAAGAGACTCAAGGATAGAGAGCTGCCTGAAAAAAGGAGGCGCCGCAACTAGCCTTTTCTTGTCTTGGTTCTAATCACTTCTCTGTACTTTTAGCTCACTCTTTGTCTCTCGCATTGTAACCCAAAACAAGAAATAGGATCATTCACAAAACCAGACGTGTGTCCGACCTTGAGCAATCGGCTTGATGGGGAGATAGAAGTAATCAAATCACCATGGTGGAAAACAAACGTTCTTTCTCTGTCCTAATTACTTTTAGACATCACTGCGGGTTTCGTGCATAAGCGAACACAAACAGGCACATACACATACAGAGACAGAAACTCTCACAGTCTTCGATTTTGACATATGACCGTAACAAGCCAAACCACTTTATACATGAGCAAAGAGGGCAGACAGAGTCTGGGATTTACTGGTGAGTTTTATTGAATCGTTAGCTTGAATTTGGTTGTGACGATGATACCTTGCTCTGATGATGTTCGTCATATGAGGGAAGTAACCTTAACAATAATCGAAGTGGGTTGACCTCGTTGTCGCAACTTGATCTTGTCATGGTGACTCAGTAGGACTCACCTAGTCCGAAGTCGTCGCCATAGTAGTTGTCATGAGTCCCAGCATCTGACAGTGGACTTGATACATTCTCAAACGTCTCGCCGGCATCTTAGTCGGCATCATCAGTGAGTTTTGCCGTTCGCCGCACCAAGTTACGAACTCGTCAAAGAGACAAGTGAAGCCAATCCCTTGGCAAACGTTCTGCCGAAAACGGTTTCACTATCACTCCTTTTTCTGTCCTGGCCTATCTTTCTACTCTTTACCTTCTTATCCCATTTCCGCCCTATCACAACTTCTCACTTGTTTACATTCCACTC